TTTTTCTCGATCTTTGCTTTGCCCCCCAATCGTTGCCGTGCGTGTTTCTACGCAACAACATATATATCAANGCTGTTGTACTTCGTATTGGTTTAATATTCATGTAGAGTATGAGACATTAAGTGAAAGTTTTCTGAGGTACATATGCAATTGTCGGAAGGCAAAAATAAATAAATAAATACTTATATATATTTTTTTCCTAAAGATGAACTTTTGTATGAACAAGAACTTTCCCAGGAAAAGTTCCCAAAAAAGTGAAAGTGAACTTTTCCGGCAAATCTTCCGAAACAGTCTATTATGTAATAATACTACATTCGACCACTATTGTTATATATTTTTAAGGAGACAGACGTACGTACGTACGTGTTGTCGTATTGACTTTTACGAGAGAGGCAGCGTGTGTAGGTAGTATATCATCGCCTACTCTATCTCTCTTTTTCTCGATCTTTGCTTTGCCCCCCAATCGTTGCCGTGCGTGTTTCTACGCAACAACATATATATCAAATAGAGTAGGCCCATGTCTGTCTATGTTGCTTCCGGCACTACATCATGATCATCAGAAGATGAAGATGGCGCTCGCACTTACGAACTTGGCAGATAAGAAATCCGGCCTCGAAAAAAAGTCAAAATAAAATATATTGTCGACAAATTAATAATTACAACAACACACGTGCGTGCTCAGGCCCTACGTGGTGTTCAGAACAAGAACGAACCCGCATTTCTTCGTGGTGTAAGAACAGAGCCCCGAAAACGAGACAGCTGCAAGAGAAAATGAGCACTCACGAAGGGGTGAGGGGCTACTCGCGGGGTGAACGGTGCGCAGTTAGTTGCAGATCAGCGGCGAGGAGGAGGTTCCTTTGAAAATAGTGCTACTGGTGGTGCGGAGATGGGGGGGGTGTAGACTAGTGTTTTTGTTTTTGCGTGTCCAACGGTTGTTGTTGTTGTTGTTGTTGTCTTCACATTAAACCGTATGTCAACTGCTAAATGCCAATACCTAGCAAAGACTCTCAGCCCGTGGTCACGAAAGTGCTAGAGTCATCTGAGGATCAAAGAACACGCACACATGACGAGAAAAAGGTGCCCAAGAGCCCGAAGAGGTACACCTAAAAATCCCTGCAGCACCGTATGCGTGCCCAAAAACTGAACTGCACGTCCGTCCCACCGTTCGACTACAGTAGCATCACCCCCTCCCTGTCCCACTCCATACCAAAACGGAAGACAGCCGACTACAGCATACTGCTGTCTGAAGTGCTGTCTGTACAAAAACACCATAGTAGGCATGGAACAAGCAGCTGGCGGGGCACACAGCTGCTGTCTGAAGTGCTGTCAGAATGTTGTTGTTGTTGTTGTTTCTCACATNATATATAATCCCTGCAGCACCGTACGCGTGCCCAAAACTGAACTACACGTCCGTCTCACCGTTCGACTACAGCAACATCACCCCCTACTTGTCCCACTCTGTACCAAAACGAATGATCAGCCGACTACAGCATACTGCTGTCTGAAGTGCTGTCTGTACAAAAACACCATGGTAGGCATGGAACAAGAAGCTGGCGGGGCACAAAGCTGCTGTCTGAAGTGCTGTCAGAATGTGTCTGCGGACGTACAGTGAAAAAGAACAACCAACCAA